ATAATGTTGTAGCATAGATAATGTTGTAGCATAGATAATGTTGTAGCATAGATAATGTTGTAGCATAGATAAGCACATTCACTAATATGTCATGCTATAACCTTCAGGTATGATTCTGACAATCCGCGCGTGTGCAACGATGTGGGAGTCGCTGGCGTCGCCATAGATACCGTGGAAGATATGAAGATCTTGTTTGATGGGATTAATCTTTGCGAGAGCTCCGTTTCGATGACAGTCAACGTTGTCGTGCTACCTGTCATGGCGATGTACATAACTGCAGGGGAAGGGCAGGTAGTTAGTTATACAAGCTTGTTTCAATATGACATTCAGTGAGAGGTGATAAAATGTGTGAGATAAAAGTGGCGAACGATTCATCACGGGCCTTTCCTTTCAAGGTCAGGAATATGCGTCATAACATGATCAAGCCAGGCACGATGCCCAGTGTTTCCGACGGATGAAAAACGTTTTCAATTACTTAAGCACCTGTGATGATCTTTTGAATAAATCTGTCCGTTATCTGTTCTGTATGCCACGTGTTATATGCTTCGTGGACCGCTGGCTGTAGTGTAAAATAGCTGATTAAAGGTAAAGTGATGTTTTTCCAGGGCGTAAAACAGGAAGATCTGAGGGGAACACTCCAGAATGACATCCTGAAGGAGTTTATGGTTAGGAGCAGCTACATCTACCCACCAGAGCCCTCTATGAGGATCATTGGTGACATTATTGCTTATACTGCAAAGGTTTGTACCATTACCGTCTCAGTGTGCATAGAAAATCCAGCAGAAAGATGTTTCGCATTGGGCTGTGGCTTAGAAAGATTAGACTGCCAGTTTTTTACACTGCTCATCATTGCTTTCCTGTAGCACATGGGCAAGTTTAATCCTATCTCGATCAGTGGCTATCACATGCAGGAGGCTGGAGCTGACGCCGTCCTGGAATTAGCTTTTACCATCGCCGACGGTTTAGAGTATTGCCGTGCTGGTAAGTTAATAGTCGAGTGGAATAAAGTAATTATTACCTTGTTATTCAAGAATGTGAAGGTCAGGTGATGATGCAGTAACCTCTATCTCACTCACTCCTATCTCTTTTCTTTCTCTTTTCTCTCTTTCACTCTCTTTGTGTATCCCTCTCTCTTTATTTCTATCACTCTTTATTTCTCTTGCTCTCTCTCGGTTTCTCAGTTCCCCCCTCTCTCCCTCTCTCTTATGGTATCTCTCCTCCACTCTCGCGTCTCTCTCTCACACACACACACATACACACACACACACATACACATACACTCTCTCTCTCTCTTGTACTATTCAGGATTGGATGCCGGACTGTCCATCGCTGATTTCGCACCCCGGCTGTCGTTCTTCTTTGGCGTTGGCATGAACTTCTACGTGGAGATTGCGAAGCTGCGAGCGGCTCGCCGGCTCTGGGCGCACATGATGGAGGAGACGTTCGCGCCGACGGACCCGCGCTCAAAGCTGCTGCGTATGCACTGCCAGACGTCGAAGTGGACGATCACGAAGAAGGTGAACCGCCACGCGAATGCGGACTGATTTTGTTCGAGATACTACTGCAAGAAAACTGCAGAATATTCTTTATGACGATTCTCTCTTTACTCCAATAATACACGTCCAAACATGCTAACAGCTCGGGACTAACGATATCTAACTGAAATTATCATTTTGTGTCTGCACTAATTACCAATCGGAACAATACATGCAACGCTTTTTGTTTTATTTCAGTCATGATGTGTATTTTATTCATTCACTGCATTATAAGTAGTTTAATTTCAGTATAGCATCTTAGTATGTTGAATCACTAGCATTGCTCTTCCTTTTCCCAGTAGTATTTTCTATCATTATAGTTAATAATTACTAATTAGCATTGCTATTCCTTTTTCATGTTGCTGTTTTTATCACTAAGGTGAATCACTATCATCGCTATTCCTTTTTACTGTAGCATTAATTTCTATCTCAGTATGTACAATCACTAGCGTCTCTCTTCTCTTTCCCTGTAGCATTTGTATCTGAGTATGGATGAATCGCTAGCGTCTCTCTTCCCTTTCCCTGTAGCATTTGTATCTGAGTATGGCTGAATTACTAGCGTCTCTCTTCCCTTTCCCTGTAGCATTTGTATCTGAGTATGGATGAATCACTAGCATCTCTCTTCCCTTTCCCTGTAGCATTTGTATTTGAGTATGGATGAATCACTCTAGGTCTGAGAAGAGGTGTACATTACCGCGTCCTCTAGTGTGCATAGAGAAAATCAGCAGAAAGATGTTTCGGCATTGGCTGTGCTTAAAGATTAGGCAGTTTTTTTACACTGCTCGATACATTGCTTTCCTGTATGCATCATAGTGTGGGGTGCAAGATGTATAATCCTATCTGTCTGATCAAGTGGTCTATTCACATTTGCATGGAGGCTTGGAGCCGATGCCTTTGTCCCTGAATTAGTCTTTGACCATCGGTTGCCTGACAGGTTTAGAGTATTGCTCGTGCTGCGGTAAGTTAATAGGGTCGAGTGGAATAAAGTAATTATTATAACCTTGTTATTCAAGAATGTGAAATGCTATGAAGGTGTCATGTGATTGACAGGTCATGGCTATGAAGGTCAGGTTGATGAAAGGTCCGGCTATGAAGGTCAGGTGATATCAGTAAGGCCTGCTATCTCCTCACTTTTCTTTCTCTTCTTCTGCTCTGCTCGTGTGTCTCTGCTACACCTCTCTTCGTGATTACCGCTCTCGTCTTTATTTCTCGTTGCTCTCTCTCGTTTCTCAGTCCCCCGGTGTTCTGCCCTCTGCTCTTATGCTGTCTCTTCCTCCACTTCTGCGCTTATCTTCTCTCTCTCACACACACACACACATACACTCTCTCTCTCTCCGTACCTATTCAGGATTGGATGCCGCGGACTGTCCATCGCTGGATTTCGCACCCCGGCTGTCGTTCTTGCTTTTGGCGTTGCAATGAACTTCTACGTTGGAGATGCGGAGCTGGCGAGCGGCTCGCCGGCTTCTGGGCGCACATGATGGAGGAGACGTTCGCCCCATTCGGACGCAATGCGCTCAAAGCTGCTGCGTATGGCACTGCAGACGTCGAAGTGGACGAGTCACTGAAGAAGGTGAACCGCCAGCACGAAATGCAGCACTGATTTTGTTCGAGATACTACTGCAAGAAAACTGCTAATATTCTTTATGATGATTCTCTCTTTACTACCAATAATACACGTCCAAACATTTGCTACAGCTCAGGACTATACTAATCTTTAAGCTGAAATTATCATTTTTGTGTCTAGTCACTAAGTTACCAATCGGAACAAACTACATGCAACGCTTTTGTTGTTTATTTCAGTCATGATGTGGTATTTTACTTCATCACTGCATTATAAAGTAGTTTAATTTCAGTATAGCACTTAGTATTTAATCACTAGCATTGCTCTTTCTTTTCGCGGTAGTATTCTTCTATTCATTATAGTTAATAATTACTAATTAGCATTGCTATTCCTTTCAAGTTGCCATGTTTTATCACTAAGGTGAATCAGCTATTTCTCGCTTTTTCCGTTCCCTAGTGAGCATTAATTTCTATCTCAGTACTGTACAAATCACCTAGCTCTCTCTTACCCATTTCCCTGTAGCATTTGTATCTTGAGTATGGATGAATCACTCTAGGTCTGTTCTTTTCTCTTGCTGCAGGACCCGTACAACAACATGGTGCGCACGACGATAGAGGCGATGGCGGCATTGTTCGGTGGCACCCAATCCCTGCACACAAACTCGTTCGACGAGGCGCTCGGCCCGCCGACGAGCCACAGCGCCCGCATTGCACGCAACACGCAGGTGGTCCTGCAGGAGGAGTCCTTGAATTCCGGAAGAGTACAGCCCCGGCGTGTCGCGTGGGGGGGTTGAGGAACGACGCGGGGATGAGCTGAGCAAAGCGCGTTGTTGGGAAACGGTTCGCTGCTAGACTACGTCACCTGTCCGCCCATTTGCGGCATGAAAATACAATACTCCTGGCAATCTATTGCAATCAAGTGCCCTGCACTGTAATGTACAAATATATTAAATATATAATAAATACATCAAGTGTATCAATGTACTCCACAAATATATTAAATATATAATAAATGTACAAGTATATCAATGTGATCTACAAATAGGTGTGTTGATGACATTGTTCACGTTGCTACAGGTGGTGGACCCGTGGGGAGGTTCCTGACGGTAATAGCATTGACGGTTCTAGGTGGACCGTGGAGTTCCCCCACCCTAACTGTTTAATGCATGTCCGTCTTTAAAAAAGTGTGACGCGGGTGGGGTTCGCTACGTGAGTTGAGAACATCCGTTGGCGGGAGGCTGGTACCTGAGCCCACATGTGTTAATGAGCATTGTTCACGTGCACGGGTTGGCCGTGGGGCGGTTCCTACTATGGAGATTGTTCTTGGTGGCAGGTGGTGGACCCGTGGGGGGTTCTACCTGATGTTAATGACATTGTTCACGTTGCTGCAGTGTGGCTGGGAGCCTCGTGTTGAGATGTCACGTGGTAGTTGCTTGGGTCCTACCTGATGTTTAAGAGCATTGTTCGAGCCGTTGTGCTGCAGGGGTGGACCCGTGGGAGGTCCTACGTGATGTTAAGTGACATTGTTCCGTGTGCTGCAGGTGGTGGAGCACGTGGGGGAGGTTCCTACCTGATGTTAAGACATTCGTTCACGTTGCTGCGTGGTGATCCGTGGGGAGGAGGGGTTCCTACCTGATGTTTAATGACATTGTTCACGTTGCCTGGGGGGCAGGTGTGGACCGTGGGAGGTTCCTGACACTGATGTTAATGACGTTGTTCACGTTGCTGCAGGTGGTGGACCCGTGGGGAGGTTTCCTACCTGTGTTAATACATTGTTTCACGTGTGCTGCAGGTGGTGGACCCGGTGGGAGGTTCCTACCTGATGTTAAATGACGTTGTTCACGTTGGCTGCAGGTGTGGACCCGTGGGAGGTTCCTACCTGATGTATAATGACATTGTTCACGTTGCTGCAGGTGGTGGACCCGTGGGGGAGGTTCCTACCTGAGTTAATGACATTGTTCACGTTGCTGCAGGTGGTGGACCCGTGGGGAGGGTTCCTACCTGATGTTAATGACATTGTTCACGTTGCTGGCATGGGGTGGACCCGTTGGGAGGTTCCTACGCTGATGTTAATGACGTTGTTCACGTTGCTGCAGGTGGTGGACCCGTGGGGAGGTTCCTACCTGATGTTAATGACATTGTTCACGTTGCTGCAGGTGGTGGACCCGTGGGAGGTTGCCTACTGATGTTAATGACGTTGTTCACGTTGGTGCAGGTGGTGACCCGTGGGGAGGTTTCTACCTGATGTTAATGACATTGTTCACGTTGCTGGCAGTGGTGGACCCGTGGGGAGGTTCCTACCTGATGTTAATGACATTGTTCACGTTGCTGCAGGTGGTGGACCCGTGGGGAGGTTCCTACCTGATGTTAATGACATTGTTCAGCAGTTGCTGCAGGTGGTGGACCCTGGTGGGAGGTTCCTACCTGATGTTAATGACATTGTTCACATTGCTGCAGGTGGTGGACCCGTGGGGAGGTTCCTACCTGATGTTAATGACGTTGTTTCACGTTGCTGCAGGTGGTGGACCCGTGGGAGGTTCCTACCTGATGTTTAATGACATTGTTCACGTTGCTGCAGGTGGGGTACCCGTGGGAGGTTCCTACCTGATGTAATGACGTTGTTCACGCAGTTGCTGCAGGTGTGGACCGTGGGGAGTTCCTACCTGATGTTAATGACATTGTTCACGTTGTGCTGGGGCAGGTGTGGATCCGTGGGGAGGTTCCTACCGATGTTAATGACATGGCTTCACTGTTGCGCAGGTGGTGGACCCGTGGGGAGGTTCGTACCTGATGTTAATGACATTGTTCACATTGCTGCAGGTGGTGACCGCGTGGGGAGGTTCCTACCTGATGTTAATGACATTGTTCACGTTGCTGCAGGTGGTGGACCCGTGGGGAGGTTCCTACCTGATGTTAATGACATTGTTCACGTTGCTGCAGGTGGGACCCGTGGGAGGTTCTACCTGCATGTTAATGACATTGTTCACGTTGCTGCAGGTGGTGGACCCGTGGGGAGGTTCCTACCTGATGTTAATGACATTGTTCACGTTGCTGCAGGGTGGTGGACCGTGGGGAGGTTCCTACCTGATGGAGAGCCTTACCGATGAGATGTTTGCAGCAGCAAGGACATCGTTGCTGAGGTGGAGGAGATGGAGGCATGTCGAAGGCGGTGGCGAGCGGGATGGGCGAGGAGACGGGGTGGACGCCTGCGCGGCCAGCAAAGCAAGCGCGGATCGACACGGCACATGGTATGCCACTAAACTAACTAACTGACTGACTGACTGACTGACTAACTAACTAACTAACTAACTAAATATGGTAACAGGGTAGGGCATACTGGCACTACGAAACCCGAAGAACGGCCATGGAAGAGTAGCGAAACTTGCAGTGATGAGTGTTGCAACACGAGAATTATTTAGTGCTGCATATTTCTGCATAATTCTGCATAATATGTTTTGCATAATATACACCATGTTTTCAAATCATTGCTCAATTTAGAAGTTAGTTTAGCACCTGTTGCCGCAATGACAACGCTCGTGTGAAGACTTATGAGAAAACAAAAGGCTTTATCTGACACGAGGTGGACATGTAACCACCTCACATTTATTGTTATTATATTATTATATCATTAATATTATATTATATTAATTATATTATTATGTAATTATATCGTTGTTGTAGAGGTCATTGTCGGGGTGAACAAGTACACGCTGGACAACGCATCAGACACCGTAGAGTCGATGAACGTGGTCGACAACACTCACACCAGGCAGAGACAGGTTGAACGGCTGCAGGCAGTGAAAGCCAGCAGGGATGATGGCAAGGTGTGTGTTCGTAGTGAAGCTCACGCGGTTGTCGTAGGCAGGGCTCCTACCAGATGAAATAGTAACATGTTATATATTATACACTATATAGTCTATATTATACACTATATATAGTCTATATTATACACTATATAGTCTATATTATGCACTATATAGTCTATATTATACACTCCTGATGGTAAGCACTCCAGTGGTTCTGTATCGCATCGTCAAATTGTTGCCGCTGCGCTTTCAATCGAATACATGAGATGTCACAGTGGAGAGGCGTGCAAACTATGGATCGTCAGCTCTTGTTGGCTCTGGGGACGGGTCGGGCACGAATAGTGGTGTCTGAAACAGGGGCGTAGCTATGGGGGGGGCCACAAATTTTCTGTGCCGCCCCCTAGGTGCCCCCCCACTGAAAATTCATGCTGAGTAAAAAAAAAATTGAATTAAAAACAATGCCGTTAGAACAGTAATAATACAAAAAAAGTTATATATTGTGCCCGCCCCACGAAAATGTAAGGCCCCCCAGTGCCCCCCGCCCGCCCCCCCGCTGAAAAATCCTAGCTACCGCCACTGGTCTGAA